TCTTTTCAACTGAATTTCTTGCACAGTTTATCTTTTTCTCTTTACGAAAAAAAAAGTGAAAACGATGCGAGTAGTTCAATTAAAAAGAATGGGTCCATTTTTATGTTTTGTATAAACGGGTTTTTATACCAATTTGATTTGTACATTTTATTTTTAAAGAAATATAATTGTTACATATATCATGCTATATTTTATGTTCAATAAATCGTATTTATTAGCATAATTTTATGAATAAAAAAAAATATTTATTTGAAGCAACTCTTTATTGAAAAAAAAAAAAGGAAATATAGGGAATATATGATTATAAGTGATCGGGATTGGCACTACTGCTAAAAAAAACACGTGTGGGCTGAAAACTTAACATGGACAATCCAGTGGTCGCAAAAACTTTGTGAAAATTTTATTTTATTATTGAATAATATCGATAACTTTCTAATAAAGATGGAAGCAAATGTGATATCTTGTACTACATGGGTGAAAAAAGGCATCGCCGCGGCTGTTCCGGAAAAAGTTGGCATTTTAATGTTATGTATAGGTTATGTAATTTGTCAAAAACATATATTTTCTGCGATTTGTAGGTTGAATTAAGGCCCGATGAGCTCGAGAAGATTATAAAAGAGACGCAAACCACTTTGAAGTACGTAAAATAATGTTAATTATTAAAATAATGCACAATTTGCTTTTTAGAACTTTGTCTCATCTCTTTCATAACATCTTTGATATCCTATCTTCTCTATCGAGAATTCTTTTCTTCATTCGATTCTTAAATTTGAATCTTGCGTTTGTAATCAACTTCAGATTATCTCTTGCTAAAAAATATATTCTGATAATTTTGATGATTATTAGAGACTTTAGAGAGTGTTGAAACTATAACTCTTAATTGTGCATCTATAGTTTTCTCACAAAAATAGGACATACAATAAATATTAAAGAATTAATTGTAAGACTTTTTTATAGCAATGACAATAATGATGATGATTCTGAAGAAGAGGGATCCAAAACACAATCTAATAGAGAGAAGAAAGGAGAATCTTCGACTGCTGGCATTGATGAATATAACTTTAAAGCCTATGATAATGAATGTAAGAGAAAAATTGTTTAATATTCAGAATATAATAAAAATATATTTGATTTTTTATTTTTGTTTTAGCTGGCAATATGTATTGCCATATTAGTAATTTAGCCACTTTTGATGCAAATGGCAAAGATCCTCTTATAACAAACGATGAAGAAGACTCAGATAAGGAGGATGATATTATCAAAGCTGATGATAATTTAGTGTTGTTTGGACATGTTGAGGGAGATGCTAGCATCTTGGAAGTATTTGGTTTGTACAGCATATTTAGTTTGATTAAATATTTGAAGTTCATTCTTAATGCTAAATAATTTTACGTATTATATTAGTCATTAATTGTATGTATAGATCTTTGATTTCTGACAATCTTTTTATATGTATAATTGTAGTATATAACGAAAGGGAAGGATCCTTTTATTGTCATCATGATATATTACTACCTTCATTTCCATTATGCATAGAATGGCTTAACTATGATCCTACCACTCCAAAACCAAGTGAGTAATACTTTAATTACATTAGAAATTCTTACAAGAAATATAAATTATATTATTTATGTAATAAAAGGTATAATTAAAGATTTATATTTACGCTTTTAGGCAACCTATGTGCTATTGGTAATATGACTCCCATAATTGAAGTATGGGATTTGGACTTGATAGACTGCTTAGAACCAGCCTATAAATTAGGTCGTAAACCAAATAAAATGAAGAAACAAAAACGCATTGGTCATAGAGATGCAGTTCTAGATGTGTCGTGGAATCATAATTATACGTCAGTTATCAATTTCACAAAAAAATATAATCAATATAATAGCTAATTTTGTTATTACTATATTTTACAGACATGTTCTTGCTAGTGGTTCGGCCGATCAGACAGTCTTATTGTGGGACTTGGAAAATGGCAAACCTGTCAATAAACTAGGTCCGTTCAACGAAAAAGTGCAAACGCTAAAATGGCACCCACAAGAAACTCATCAGCTATTGATAGGATGCGCTGATGGGTACGTAGATTATCCTATTGATGAACATTTGTATTACATAGATATCTACTTTAATATTTTTTTCAGATTAATAAAACTGTACGATTGCATGAACGAAGTACCCATTATACAATGGGAGGCATTGGGAGAAGTGGAAAGGGTCTTATGGAATCATCATGATCCAAATTATTGCATTGTACGTCTTACATGCATCTGAAATTAATTTTATGTTTTTCGCTATATTTGTAATTGAATTTCTTTGCAGGTTAGCACAGATAATGGTTATATAGAATACTTTGATGTACGAAAACACAAACCATTATGGCAATTTAAGGCCCATGAAAGAGAAGTCACAGGTAAATAAATCTCTTATCTAACTTGTTTTATATTATACCTCATAAATTTCATTTTTTATTTTTTTTTCCAGGTCTTTCTCTTAGTACATCATGCCGAGGTCTGTTTGTCTCTTGTTCGAACGATGGTGTAATAAAAGTATGGGATATAGACCAAGAATCTCCTACTCTTATATGGGAACAGACGAGTAATTTGGGCGCTATACAGTGCCTTGCAGCGAATCCAGATAATGGATTTGTATTCACTGTTGGCGGAGATAATAAAGAACATAATTTTAAAGTGTTGGATCTTATGGAGATACTTACAGGTATGTATAAGTAATTTTTAATATAGATTAAGTGTCATTGTGTTAACTTTTTTACTCTGATTAATAGTGCGAGAGAGATTTGTAAAACGCGTTGCATCGAAAACTTTGGCAGAATCTCGGCAAGAAGAGACGATGGACGTCACCGAAGATATGGAACATATGGAAATTGAAAATCAGGAATCGTCAAGCAAAAAAGAAATAAAAAAGAGATAAAAAAATAAAAGGATACATATTAGTATCAAAATTGATTATAAAATCTTAATTATACTTTAAAACATTTAAACGAATAAAGTTACATAGAAATTGTAAATAAACGACTTTTGTTACGCGTTTTTTTTTTATACAGATAATTAATCTGTAGTATTAACATAAAAACTGTTCGATAAGAGAATAAATGTATCTATATACATATTTGGTAGGTTTATTAAAACTCCTTTTGTTTTTGTTTCTTAAAACATGATTTATTGTTTCCCTGTTAACAGTTTAATTTTAATCCCATTTATTTTTCAAGAATCTTATATGTAATTTTTTTTATTGAAAATAACAGTACGGTATTTTATTTAAGTATTTACCGAATTTTCACATTATATGATACGAACAATTAATATAACGTTTTGAAGACATCGTTTCATTAAAAAAAAAATGTTTTTAAAAGCGGGTTCCCCTGATTCGCATGCTATAAATTTGTAATAGCCAACAGTAATTAATCTCTCGCGCGCCACGAGTGAATAAGAGATTACATATTGCACTTAGAAATGTTAATTTAAAAAAATTCAAAAATTTAGTACAGAGTCGAAAACACGCTGTCCATTCGAAATCTTTGTATTCTATTAAAATGCAGATAGATTTATGCTATGTAAAAATAAGCAGGTTACACATGTAAGACAAAAGGACATGTATGACAGAAAGGATTTGTATAACTTATACGGTTTCACAAAGTTGTAAAAATATCATTTGCGTGCGACTATTTCTGTAAAAGTGGTGATTTAATTATCTGTCGATTAAAAATCTGTTTGTAAAAGCTACACGGTCTTATGTAACGATTCGTTTGATTAAGAATTCAAGATATCAATGCTATCGAAAAAGCAAGTCTAAGGGAGAGGGGCAGTCGTGAGGATTATTTTTACAAGTTAATATTACCAAATATTTGGCGATATTATTCGTTTCTCGAATATACAATCCTCGATTTATCTATTAATTCTCTTAATTACTCTGATTATATATACTGATAGATTCTTATATTTACTTTCATTTTTAATGCAGAATTGTATTACAATTATCTCGATAGTGTATAATTATTGGGCATAATATTAACAATGTTGCTGTGTTAGAAATCCTTTCTTTTTCACTTTACCCGTTTACTTAAGGAACTGTTGTGGTCCTTGCAGCTACGATTTAATTTTGAATAAATACAACAAGTGTTCGCTGTTATGAAATTTTGTTGGGCAGTTACAAATATGGTAAAACTAATGAAGTTCAACGATTATTTTCGTGTGTATTTGCGTTTTGAAACAAAGTGTTACGTCATTTTGTTCTATAATTTTAATTCGTTTATTTGTTAAAAATGAAATTTTATCTTCCTTTTTTTATCAGAGAGCGTTGTATGAATATTCAATACGTGAAGTACATGTATTACATATTTGAAAATTCATGTTCGATCTGTACATACAATTGTGATTAAACGTTTTTTGACCTAATTATGAATTGATGAATTGTGCTTTAATAAAAGTACAGAATAAATTAGCGAATCATGGAGATCAGTAAAATATAACTTTCATTATTTAAGTATTTTGTATTTCAAGAAAATTCATCTCAATTCAATGACGAACTAGAATGGAATAAGATGTACATATATACCAGTGCCAGTCATACTGATTAGTCTTGTTAATAAATTCCGAACCGCATTACGATTTACGACGCGCTTTCTGGCAGTGGTCTCGTAAATTCAATAAAAATTGAAGATATAATTATATTAACAATATTTCATAAAATTCCATCTTTCACTGATATTTACAATTTCCTTCTTTTTATTTTTTTTTTATATTTAAATGTAGCACGGAATATGTCATGCCGATAGACATTTCAAACAGATTCAATAAATATTACAGAATAAAAAAATGACGTCTGTAATGTAAGCGGTCTTTTAAGTACATTTTTTTTTCGCACAAAATGTTTAGAGAAGCGATTCAAATTATTCAACATTTTGTGCAACGAGTAAAACAGTGATATACAATGTACATATATTCCCATTCTTCTTCCCTCGAATGATATACGAATCATGCTCAGTCAATAATATCTGCTGACGGCACAAAATCAGGATTGGTAAAGACTTAATGTTTTTTTTTTTTTTAAGTATAGAACATGCGCTTCTTCTATGTTTTTAATGCTTTAAATATATTATAAACAGTACTATAAAAAAAACATTTAAAACATATTAAAAACCTCAATTAAGCATGTTTTAAACTGTTTAACACATTTAAAACATTTTTTACCAATCTTGTACAAAATGCCTGACCTCGTTAGATTCGTCATACAATTTGCGACGCATGGACGCATAAACGAGAGAAAAGCGACTGTCAACAATGATCGCTTTTGTCTAGAGGATGTACAGTTGACCATAAAGGTTGACATATACATATAATATATTAATTAGAATAATTCATACACACATATGTAACATTAGCATTAAACTAGGCGTCGGTTCCTACATCGAGACTTCTCGAGTCCTGATTCGAATCGTGCTGGCTCCCGCCCTCGGAGCTCGCATTGCTCGACTGATCCGAGCCCTTTTTCACCTTGGGCTTGTACTCCGTGATAGTGACGGTAACATTATTGACCGTTACCTCGTTCGATTGCGCGGTGCTACGGTCAATATTTTTCAGACGCGGCGGATGCCTGTTTTTGCGCCTCAGCTTGTCCAGTTTGCGTTCCTTTTCCTTGACGCCGCTGGTCGTACTACCACCACCACTTCCTTCTTTCTTACCTGGTTTCAGAAGTGGTACATATTGTTGCTGCGCAACCTGGATATGATATAGTATCATATTATATGTTAACTCTAATATCGAAATAATAACGTAAAAAATAATTCGAAAACGAATAGTTATATTTTAAAATAAAAAAGACTTATTCCTCTATATGTAAATTATATTGATTGTGTTCTCCGTTATTGCGAGTACTAAAAATCTATAATATAATATAATATAAAATATATTGTAGATTTTCAGTATTCACAAAAATACAATCAGTAAATGATATAAACTCGTGGACAATTCGTTATCCCCTGGATCTATAATAGTAAAGCTAGTCTTGAAAGTGCCTACTCTATTTTAGTACAATAATCTGTATACTGAAGGTGCCAATTCCTCTTATGTTCGCAACACTCGTGAGCATCCTTCTTACCATCAAATATTAAACAACCAGAATCAAATATTAAGTAAGAATATCATAAAACAATATGTACATAACTCTTACATATATATGATTCTTTTAGTAGAACAGAGAGAGATATCTTTAGGACTTGCTTTACTAGAATGAAGGAGTGAATTATTGTTCACAGGTATATATTGCAAGATAATTAGACTGACCTGTTGAGCTACCAATTGGGGGTTTATGCGGGGTTTCCGCGTAGAGGTTCCTTTGCGGACGTCACACATGAGGCACTTAAATGCTTCCGCTGTATTCCTATAAGTGCAGACACTGCAGTCCCAATAATTTTCTTCCAAAACCTTCGCCTGACGTTTTCCGCTTCCCGAATGGTTCATTGTTTGTTGAAGTCAATCGTAGAACGCTGTACCTTCTCAAAAGAAAGTTTCCCCTCTTTTGAGGCACCTTCGGCCTCATTAAATTTAGCAGTTTTGTGAACACCGAATATTTTCCAATAGAGCGTAACTAAGGATATGCAATAAAAGCGCTAGACAAATGTCTAAGGCAACGTTCCATACATCAACTGAGCGAGATACATAATAGTCTATTATAAATGATCGCTCTGTATTGACCACCTATGTCTCTATATTGTATCACTCTGACATTACACATTTTCTTCCAATGAATCTGTAACGGAAAAAAACAGTCTTGTTAATTTAAATACATTCAAAAATATTATGAAATAGCGATGTTTTGATATAACAAAACTCTCAGCAAAATATTATTATTTATAGAATCACGAGTCTATCAATATTTTGTATCTATTTAAATTGGTATTCAATAAAACTAGGGTATTTAAAAAAAAAACAATTAATAAATAAATTATTCTTCAATCTATTTAATTTGTGATGAGGAAGATAAAAAACTAAGTATTAAATTAATATCAAATTAATTATAATCATCACATAAGTAAAGTTTTAAATTAGTGTTTTGAATAGGTATCAACTGAAACAACCAACACACTACTGCCTCTATTTATCAATATAGAATTGACCTCTCACGTCTACTCCAGAAGTTAACTCACATTATTTACACTTGGTATTCACAGATAATGAATTCGTTCACGTTGATAGACACTGGAGATTCTTTCTGCCACACGTTCAATCCAGTATTCCCCTTCAGTGTAATAAAATTGTACTTGATTCAACGTCACTCTCCTATCAAGTGACACTCCTTGTATGTTTTGTTTGTATTTTCCTCAACCAAAGAGCGAGATATTTCCTGCGTTTCGTTTCAAGACGGATGTCGTACTCGCAGAGTCCAGTTCGTTACAACGAAGGCGTTCGCAGGAGTCTCTCCCGGAACTTCTTCTAGAGTTTCTCGCTCGAACCGACGTCCTGGAGCCGTTTACACTCGTCAACCCCGGAGTCTCGCCGGTGAGAGGTCACGGATCGGCGCATCCTGCTAACGGCGAGGCGGATGGAGCTCGTCGGTGCATTGTCGCGCGCGTGTATACGTGTGCACGCACGTGCGCTCGCGCGCGCGTCGTATCGTATCAATATCGTCCGTTACACGCGTGTCCTACCGCTAGTGTCCACTGATTCACCGCGTCCGCGCATTCCAGCGTCCTGGCGTCGTCAGCGACGGGGCTGACAGCGGTGACTGGGAGAAGAGAGGGGGGAGGGGAGGAAAAGGGAAAGAAACGTCACACGCGTCGCGTGAAGGGCGAGTCAAGAGGAGGAGGTAGAGGAGGAGGTGATGGTGGTGGTGGCGGCGATGATCTCTCCACTGTTTTCCACTAT